TTTCGTTAATAAATATTTCATGAGTAATATAGTTGTCTTTGTCACATTTTATTTGCCATTAGTAAATAAGTATGCACATTTACAGATATTTTACATGATATGAGTGATAACACGTGTTATAAGGACTATTTTAGGGTAGGTGTGCCTTGAGATTTTTACTTGTCCTTTGGTGTGCCTTGGGCCCAAAAAGTTTGGGAACCACTGATCTAGGCTAAACCTGACCCTGTGGTGTCTCTTCAGAAACCTTTCTCACGTCTTGACAAACACATAGAAATTCAATGTTGGATGCAAAACAATTATGAATCCTCTAATCGCTTCATGAAAATATTGCCTTTTCATCACTTGCTGAGTGGCTAAGAAGATGTGAAATATCTACCTTCCCTCTTTGTTCAGCCATTGGCACTGAGGCTTAATCAGGGTCTTTACTGAACAGTTCAAAATCACACAGTAGGTATTGTGTACGACACATGGTTGATCAAATCTCTGTCTATTATCTAATAAGAACTGGGCATATAAATAGTGCTGCATTCAAATTATGTTGTGTTTACTACAACAAAATCACTAGTGACATGTGATTAAAATGGCTAAAAATTAGGGATGCACCGAATATTCGGCCGCCGAAAATTATCGGCCGAAAATGGTTAAAAAGGCCCTTTCGGCTTTCGGCCGAAAGGGTTCTAGCACCGAAAAAATATCACTGAATGTCAGAGAACAGGGTTACGTTGGTAAGCTAACGTGTTGTTGTGATGACGTAATCAAAACGCGGCGACAAGCACGGCGCGCGACCATGCTCGCGGCTGGCTCACAGCCAACATGTCTGCCGCTTGGAGATATTTAAAAATATCAGAGAAAGAGGCGCGGATTGCGATTTGTAAAACGTGTTCAGCTGACATTTCTCGAGGGGGTGTAACTGCAAAGACTTTCACCACTTCGGGATTACTCCAACACTTGAAATCAAAACACCCGGACAAATATGCGGAGTAAGATCAAATCACAAGCACTGACAGCGGGAGACTGTTCAGCGCTGCCTCTCATGTGCTTGATGAGAAGAGGAACAGACTTATGGCTGATAAAGCAGAGAAGCTAATGTTCATTAAAAAGAACTTCCCACTTTTCCTTAATAAGTAGACAAGGCTGGCTTATCATAAACTTATCTAGTTCTACATGTCTACTCTATACCCACTTTCCTGAACAATTTTCATTGTGAGTTATAATTCACCATCTCAGGTTATCATTAGGGGGAAATGACAGCAGCACAGTGTTCAATATATTGTACTTTCGGTATCGAAATGATACAATGTTGTTTACATTGCTCATGAGGACAGACCACCTTATTTGCAGATTCTTGAAATTGTAATTTAATTTGTAATTGATTAATAATAGATTTAATTTGTTAGCGCTTTTACAGGTACTCAAAGACGCTTGATTGTGGATTTTGTATCCAGTTTTCACTTTATGTATCTTTATACAATGTTTACTACTTTGCTTATGAGGACAGACAGCCTTATTTACAGGTTCTTGAAATTCAATTTTAATTTCATTTGTAAATAGTTACATTCATGTGGATTTATCCAGTTTGCACATTTGTATGCATGCACTTATAGGTGCATTTGTTGTTGTTGAAGGCCTGGCTGTTACAGTCTTTATTTACACTATTTTGTTGTAGGCCTACTGGCCTAGATGTTTATGCAGTTTTAAAGCACCTTGGCTTTGTTCTGAATGCACTTTGTTGTAGTTATCCTACAGAGAAAAGAAAATGCACTTGACTTGGAATTAATGTACTGTATGCATTCAAAAGTGCTGAATAAATGTTTTATGGACCCATAATAGTGATTATTATTTAAGTTAAGTTTTGCCATAATCATTTATTTTTCCATAATCAGGCAGCTGAACAACATTGGTAAAAAATGTATACATTATATATATATATATATTTCTATTAATCATTTTCGGCATTCGGTTTTCGGCCAACTGTTTCCTATTTTCGGTATCGGTTTCGGCCAAGAATTTCCCATTCGGTGCACCCCTACTAAAAATAAAGTGCAATAATTAAATACATTTGAAATCCCCTTTGAAATCTTTTTCTAAACGACTACCGTACATGTAAATATTGCACCTGACAGTTTACAAGTATGTTGTTGTTCCCATCTTACCTGAAAGGCAGCCAATTCCTCGGCTGTGTTCTTCCACAGGTAGAAGGTGGGAAACCCTGGCGGTCCAGGAGGTCCCGACTCCCCTCTTTTTCCTGAACGCCCTTCAGAACCCAATTTACCCTATGAGAGATGAGCAGAGGTGGGAAGTAGTGGAGTACAAATACTTCATTACTGTACTAAAGTACATCTTTCTGGTATCAGTACTTTACTCCACAAATTATTTTTCTGAAGACTTTTTACATTTCTAACACAAATACCTGTACTTTCTACTTCTTACATTTTCTAAACAGGCTGGTTACTTTAGTTTTAATCTGTGTTTGGTGGCGTAATCATTATTATTTAGAGTCAATGCGTTGATTTGAACACGATCCGTGTATCCATCATTTCCTGGTCTTCTCTAAAGAAGAGGGACCAATGAAAACGTTGTCATGTTGCCGTTGTTCAGCATGGAAACATTCATTAGCTAACAATGACATTATTGTTCTATTAATATAAAGGGAGGTCAGGTACTCTTTAAAACAGCTGCTAGTTATGGGTACTTTTTACTTAAGTACATTTCAAAGTTCTTTACTTTTACTTGAGTAAAGAAGTTTAGTCAGTACTTCTACTTTTACCAGATTATTTTTAAACACGAGTATCTGTACTTATACTTGAGTAAAGGATGTGTGTACTTTTGCCATCTGTGGAGATGAGAAGGAAGTGGTACGTTTATCCAAGACAAATCAATTTATATGGAACACTTGTTTTTTTTTAATATGGCACCATAAAAGTGATATAATGCAGTATTGGGGCTCAAGCATAAATGATCAACACTTGGGCCCAATGGAACAGAGGGACAGGAGTTTATAGCAGTATCAACATGTCAGAAGTGAAAAAGGAGTCAAGTGGACTTACTTAACACATCGTTATAGGTTATTATCTCGTAAAGAAACACTTCTCTTACCTTATCACCTTTAAACCCAGGCCGGCCAGGATCACCAGTACAGCCCTGCCAAACAAGTAACAACCTTCAATAAAACAGCTCAGAAGGACAACACAGGGGGGGAAACGAATAAAGAAACACATTGAAATAGTGTTTTAACCACAAGTGAATTGTTGGTTAAAGTGAAACTGTTATATCTTTAACAAATCATCCCAGAAATGTAAAAATAACAACCTTCCTACTACTCCCAAGAGGGTAAGACCTGCGGTCTGACACACAAGCAAAGCACCGGATCCTTGTAAAACCTCACAGTTTAGTGCCTTCTAAAAAGCGAAAGACACATTTTAAGTGTTGTTCACAACACCTTGAATGCCAATTAAACACTAAGATTTTATGGCTTATTTAGTACTTAGATATACATGAATTGTATGTTGAAGCAGCAAGGCACTTTGTAGATCCTGAATGTGTTCTTTTAAGTCTAAATTATATCTGCATCTGAATAAATACCTCTTATAAATGCTACCACATCTTTACTATGGCATTTTCCTGGAGGTTAAAAACCCATTTTGGAGATTTTTTGTGAGCTTGTTTTTACTGAAGGTTTACATAGTAGTGCATATGCATTGAAATAAATAGGTAACACGGTGTAAAGACAAAGCAGCGAGGCCATTATGTTCTCCATCTGGACATCTTGGAATGTAATACCGCACTAATGCAATCGCCAGTCACCAAAGGAGAGCAACAAAGCCTGTGGTCAAGTCATAATTCATTTCAGAAAGTGTGTTAGTGGTCAGTTTAACTCATGGTTAGGTACATTTAATGAATTGGTGGTACTGGTTCTATTGTTACCAGCAATTTAATTCACCCGATGAATTGATTTAGAACAGTGGTTAAAATGTTTGCTTAAGGCAAACTATTTCAACATTTGAGGCAGCTGCCAGCCAATTAGAGAAGAGCATTTCCTGTAATTTATACTTGTACACAGTAATGCTAAAAGCTAAAGCATACTAAGAAAAGCTAAACAAGTTAGAGCTGAAGTGCAACAAGTTAGAAGAAGAGAGAAGGATTGTATTCTGAGCCAACAGGACGTCTTCCTTCATGTTCCCTACAGCCGTCTTTAATCACAGTAATCGTGCTGAGTGATCCTGCGGATTTTATGGCAGCGTGACTTCAGAGGCTGGTCCAGACATGAGCAGATGTGCAATCTGGTTCTGGTTCTGTCTGCCCTGCAGTCCCTGTACTGACCCACCTCTTACACCAGGTAAACCATCAGATTGGATGGTATAAATGACTCTACCCATTAGTACCAATCACATAACTTGGCAGCCAGGGGCTGAGACTGTCACATTGAGTAATGCTATGAAACACTGTTGAGACTCCTTAACTGTGCGGTTCCCTGAGTGCTCAGATCGCTGCATCAAAGACATGTGGATCAACACATGTTTGAGAAGTGTATCCTTCCCTGATCAGAGTCAGATGGCAGCTTATGGAGAACAGCTCTTGTAAGCCGTAAAGCATAAACAGACTTTCTTCATTCACAAGGCTGGCCCTAAAATTGTTTTATCTCATCCAAAAACAGAAATCTCTGATATGATACATAATATACTGTTAAATCAATGGGAATCAAGCCCCCATTTCTTACGCCCTCAAATCTATTGTAGCGCCGAGAGGTGTTGTCACTTGGACAATAGTTAAACCCAAACTAATACAATGCCTGGAATAAGATCAGATGATACGGTTCACTTGTAATGCTTGCTAAACAATGTCAGGCGGAATCTGCCTCTGCACAAAAAGTTGGCAGTAAATAGGCACTAGGTTGCTGACTGACAAACCTAGGTAGGAAACAATGTCCTTTATTTGACTGTTGTTTGGAAAAAAAGACATTGATTACACTTATGTTATTATAATGGATAATGGAAGACCATAAGACAACTCACTTCCTGCCCTGGGGGACCCATTCGGCCTGGTAGTCCTCTCTGGAGCCGGTACATTTTGCCATCTGAGCCCAGGACCAGGTCTCCATCTCTGGATGCAACAGTCACAACGGCAGAGCGCTCCTTGTCTGGTTGTCTACCATTGGTGATGGGTCTCCCCTTCTCGATTACTGCCTTTGTTGGTGTCCCAGTTCTCGGATCCGAAGGGATCTTAGGTACAGGCAAATCCACAGAGGGCTTCTTCGTGGTACCCCCGATGTCCAGGTCAATGATGTCACTGGATGGTTTCCCTGGGAACAATGATGACGTTCTCCCACTGGAGTCAACCTTTTCATCTGTTGTTATGTTCTCCTCTATCATTTCAGGCTTTCCCTTCTGGCTTCCCTTAAGTCCATTTCTGGAAGGTTTCCACTGAAGGTTGACTTGTCCGCCATTTTGGAAGGTTGGATCCAACAAGTCGGTGTCCTCATCTACCACAAAGACATCCCCACGACCCACTGAACCTTTCCGATTGGTCCCTGAAGGCACCGTCCCGTCCCCGCGAGAGCTCCCTCGGCGCAGAAACATATTCTATTGGAAACAAAACAAGAATTAGAGACAATCCGATAACATTCTTTGAAGATTTTCAAGAAAAGATTTCTAGCTGATGATGTTTTAACTAACATGTGAAGCAAAAATAATAAGGGGGACCAATTTGGTGTAAATAAAGATTCTGTACAAATCAGTTTTCTGAATATAGTAAATATATATATATATATCATCTTTGAGATTTCATCCCTGTACACATTATATGTTGAATCACCGTATTAGATCAATCTATTTAAAGTCATTATTTTAACAAACATCATTCCTACTTTATAATAACTAAACTCGTCTCAATTCAAATAAAACCACAGCTGCAAAACGTATTCCCTTCTTGAAAACATCATCAACTCATCACTGACATCTGGCATTATTTGGTCTGCCTTCAAGTTATTAGTTTCTCATCTGTTTATGACAGTAACTCTTGACCCATCTGCCAATATATTATAGACAGAGTGTTCTTTCCAAAAACGTGTTGCCTATAATTAACATTTCCGCGGTTTACACTGGGTAGTCTGTTCGAGCCAACATGTTTATTGTTAGCATCGTCCACACTGAAGCTTTACGCTTCAGTCTGTTCGAGCCAACATGTTTATTGTTAGCATCGTCCACACTGAAGCTTTACGCTTCACTATCGTAGCTCAGGAATCACATCCACATTTGTGATTGTGTAACTATGTGCTCGGGATATCATTGCTGTTAAGCTATGGACAATGACAAAAAAGGTCATTTTTTACTCCTCAGGTTACAGCATGCATCTATGCTTATCTAGTTGTTATGTTGAACAAGTTAAAAGTTAATCTTGATATGACTAAGCTTAACTTTTAAACAAGCTTCTTACTTCAAGACATTTTCCTTTAACAGTGGCTTTTATAATAAAAACTGCTATAAAATAGTTCTCACTGTAAATCAGTTTGTTTAGGAACACTAGCTGTCCCATTAAACGTATTAATATTGACTTGAATCCCTCAAAACAAACAGCAATTTAAGGTTATGTGGTTTCCAGAGGTGACAAACATCAACATGCTAACCACTACGACCCAGCCTTTTCCTTTGCTTGTCATACTGCATTACACGCAGACGCATAAATAAACACATCAAATGTTGGGCCTCAGGGAACAGTGGTGCAGTGAGAGAGGCCTTTCAGGGGATGGGACCAAAGGGCAGTAAATTATGTTTGATGACCCTAATGGGCTGAAATGGAGAGCACTTAAGTGGAGCTGAGAGATATACAGTATGGGAAGCAGGACAGGAGGAGGAGGAGAGGGAAACAGGAGTGTGCTACCTCAGAGCTTTTTCTCAGTGTCAACGTATCCACCCATTTTCTTTCCGACCATCAATACGTATCTTCATCATCAAAATATGATAAAGGGACAAAAAGTAATAGTAGTAATTAGTAACATTTCCATATCTACACTATGTACGAATAGTTGCTCAAACACCTTTAGTTCAAGATGAACTGGTACTGTACAGTATGGTAAATGCTGCCAGCCTTTAAAAATGACCTCATTCAACATGTGCTTTATAGGTCTGCAGAGTGTTCATGAATAAAGAGTAAACTGAAATCTGTGTCCTGAAGAGCACAGCATGCTGGAGGTGAAACATGAAGAATAAAAATGGCAATAAACACATTTTATGAATCAGCATAGTTGTCACAGAGGGGATCTTGGGTTTCCTGTTTGGTTACGGGCATTTGTTGGGCAGAAATCCATTTAGCATGCTCTGATTGTGTTATCAGAAAGAATGATATGCCCTAACCTCACCATGAAATTATCAATTGAACTTGGCTTGCGTTTATATAATATGATCAATTAGAACAAAAGCCAGTCTTAAATACTGTACTTGCAATGAAATCCATTTGTTGGAGGGCTGGCTGGGTATTGTGAGGGCTTTTAAAGGGCTGATGCAGGCAAGAGGCCAGACACGGCGGCCTTAGGGAAAACAGGGACCCTTTCTCTCTCTTATTCTGGTCCACAGCCAGGCAGCCGGCCCTGGTAAAAAATATGATCTTCCCACCAGCATTAGAGATATCTCTATGAGCCCTAGCCCAGGGAACACTTAGTTGGAGAACTATGACACTTTGGACAGTCAGTCGGAGGCAAATTGCTCTCAAATATTATTCACAAAAGAAAGACGTGACGGAATCAGTTGAGCATCATCTGCGTAGCTCTGATAAGAGAAGCCACGAGAGCAAATGACAGAGCTAAGTGAATTGGTTTACTAAGAAAAAAAGGAGGGGACCCAGGACGGAGCCTTGAGGGACCCCAGTGACCAATGACAAGGATGTGAGACAGTAGGATTAATCGTGTGGCTATCTACATATTTAATGTTCACATCTTAAGGTATACACAACACAAAAAAGGGAAGTTCCAGCAAAGGCCCTAACAAATATGTCTTAAAGCTCACAACTGAACTATAGGGCCAATTAGGTAAGGGCAGAATACACAAAGAGTAGATAATGCCCAATAGTCAGAGTACTGCACCGGGTCGGTTATTGGCCAGGAAATCCGCAAACGTTTTGTTAAGAGTAAAGCCTACAACTATACAAATTCTAAGGAGCGTTCCAAAATGTGTAAAAAATATAAATGGACTGCACTTTAACAGGTAAGGAAGGTGTAATATAAGGTGGTTTAATGTTATCAGATGTGAGTGGCATGCCACCAAGTAATTTTCTTGTCAAATAAACTCTAGTAATTCCAGTGAAAAAACAATTTATACCTTTGTATCATGAGCCAAAACAAAGTTAACACTAACTGTCTTTCTGTCTACACTGTAGTAGCAGGCCGAAGCAAGCAATGACACTGTGTGTGTGTGTGTGTGTGTGTGTGTGTGTGTGTGTGTGTGTGTGTGTGTGTGTGTGTGTGTGTGTGTGTGTGTGTGTGTGTGTGTGTGTGTGTGTGTGTGTGTCTTTGTATCCTAACAACACAGTCTGATTGAAGGCATAATGCAAGTGTGTAATCTATAGGTGAACACATGACATACAGGGTATCCAGGGGTTCAGTCTGTGTGAGAATGCATTGCTGCAGGCTGATGAACAAACTCCATAATGCTTCCCTAATGCTCCTGTCAGATGATTTTCATTATTAGTCTTACTTAAATAGAAGGTACCTATGGTCATGCGTATGTACTTTCTCATATATCAGCATATTTAAAACCCTCAGGCCTCAGACAACCAACTCATAATGTAAAACTGCTCTCTTCTTAAAGTGGCATCCGACTGTTTTGTTTCAACATGTTGATGGCACAATGTATTGGCTATAGAACAATTACACAATTGCTTTTACAATACATACTTTGGCTTGCCACTGTGTACGCTGTCCCGGGAAAAAGATGATCTCACAAAGCTTTGAAATACAAATTGTAGTAGTGTCTCTTGTGCATTGTTGCCAACTAAGTAATTTCCAATTACTAAATCCAAAAGTCAGGAAAAGTTGGTAGTTGAGATTATCATAAAGTTCAGTGGATGTTATGAATGCAGCAATGGAGAGACTGCCCTTGCAAATTGCAAGAGGAAAGGGAGCCTTTGCTGTTGGCAGAAGAGCCTTTGAGATCATTTTGAGAAGCATTATAAGGACTTCCAATATACAACATTTGAGTGAATCTTCTACTTTTTCCCTTGATGGTCTTAAGTCACTAAATGGGTATAAGGCTCTGGAAAAAAAGATGAGCGACCCAGTTTTCTTTACCACAGCAGAAAGGGAGAGGAGCGTTGTCTATTGCCACTTTAATGTGTGTTCAATACACTATACTGTCAAAAAAAAATTTGGTCTGTGGTTGCTTTGCATGTTTTCATTGTACGGGTTCCCAAAATATCGCTAAAGAATGCAATCATATTTTATACAATAGCGTGTTTCCATCTTCGTGTCAATAGTTAATAATAGGGAATGCTCTTCCCTGCGTCAGCATGACAATTACCTCATGCAGAAGTCAAGGTCAATAAATCTTGTACATTTGTCCACACGTATTAAATAATTGAAAACAAATGACTGAACTGAAAGAATAAGCCAATGCACTCAAAGTATTAAGCCTGTGCCAATGCATTTCCCCCCCCCCTGATAAGTGTTTCCAACATTAAAGACAGCTACTGGTCTTACTTGCAGGAAGTTGATACTCTCTGACAATCAGACAGTCACATGGTTATCTTTTATATGTGTCTTAATTACAGCATCTATGCAAGCTTATACAGTTAAAAACATCTGCCAGTGCCACTGGGAAAATGTTGGATACATTTTCTAAACAGGTACTTCATGAGGTTATTATTGGTCACCTGAACATGGCTGTATACAGTACAGTCACATCAGTTCATTAGTTCAAAAACATATTCCAAAGGATATTACGGAGCCCCCAAGGGGACATAACGGAAAACATGTTAGAATAACTTTCTGGTGCAATGGAGAAACGATGCTGTGCTCTCCAGAAGGTTTATTGTGTTGTCAATGTCCCCTGAGGGGTACGATATATAACAGAACTTGAAGATTGTGACTCAATTTCTTAGTAACTCTTGAGCAATATTTGTGGGGAAAAAAAAAAGCGTGAGGACAGAAGTTGATAGGGCACACCTGGAGTATATGGATAGTTTTGACAAATGACTGTGTCCTCCAATCAGCACAAGGCTCCTCAGGAGTCTGTCTGAATGTGTAGCTGACAGATCCTCTGTTTAGAGGGCAATACATAGTCTATGGAGGCCTCATATCCTGACACAAGCGCTGCAGGCTATCCTGCTATCATCTCTACAGACACACAGACACACAGACAATGAACACTTGCTCCTACAAACGGGCTAATCAAATGGCAAGGTCCGTAAATCTAGCCAAGACACAGGTATGCAGACTGGCTGGGTCTTGCAAGCAGCAGTGAGCAATTTGGCCTGTAAAAAAGCATGATGACAGGGGTCTGATGTTTCAGGAATAAAGGACAGGAGTGTGATTAAAGTGTAATAAAAAACTGAATAATATGAGCAGAACTTTTATATATAATATAATACTAGA